ACTGAGTAAGAAGTTTTAATCACCAAGGAAGGGATGACCAAGCTGTATTCATATACTTGCCAACATATTCTTCTCTTCCATGCATTAATCATTTATTGATAAATTAAAGCCTTGCCCTGCCAGTGTGGCTCAGTAGCTGAATGTCGACCCATGAACCAAGAGGTCACCGGTTCAATTCCTGGTTAGGGCACACGCCCAGGTTGTGGGCCCGATCCCCAATGGGGGGCATGCAGGAGGCGGCCGATTGATGTTCTCCCTCATAGATGTCTCTATCTCTCTCCATCTCCCTTCCTCTCTTCCTAAAATCAATAAAGAAAAAATTATTTTAAAAATAATAATAAATTAAAGCCTTTAAACTAAGATACATTAGAAAAATTTCAAAATTTCTTTTGTTTCTGGTCATCAGAACTTTTAATTGGGAATACTTACTTGTGACAGGTTTCTCTAAGCCAAGTTTCTTTTTAAAATCAGGTAAAAAATCTTTAAAGCAGATGAATAACATAGCAAGGGAGAAATTTTTGAGAGATGGAGGTTGAATTGAGAGAAAAGATACTGAATATTTAAAAAGATTTCAGATTATACACTTAAATTACAAGTGAGAAAATGAAAACAGTGTGTGGAACTGATGAACATTTTAGCCAGATGGACTAAGAAAAGGGAAGGGAAGTTCTAGATCCAACCACACACTGTCTCGCTCTGGCTCCCACAGGACGGAGCTGGTTTCTGGGCGTCCGTGCCCCTCTTCCCAGCCACACCGTGGCAGGACCACCATCCGTGTTTTCGAGCAGAGGGTGACAGTGTTGGTGACACTGTGCAGGGTGGAAAAGTAGGACGAGAGGATCTCCAAAAAAATTTGCTTTCTGTGTTGAATGTTTACTTTGTGATTAGATAGCTGGGCAGGTGTCTAATCGATGAGTCAAGTAATCAATCCTATTTATGAATTGATCATGTGATTTTTTTCCTTTTCCCAGTATATTCACTGAATAAGGAGCGCTCTGTCCTGTTGTGGGTTTCTTGTCAACCAGAAGCAAAGCCATCAGAAGGAGAGACTGCGGATGGAAAGATACACAGTAGTTTGCAGATAGATAATAGATCGTTCATGTCACATGAGCTGCTCACCAGGTCCAGAAACGAAAAGCGAGAGGGAATGCAGATGGTAGTCTGAAGAACGCCCTTTCGTCTCTAACAGGAAGCCGGGAAATGGCTGAAGAGAGATACCAGGGAGAATGAAAAGACATGGCCTTCAACCCGAGAGCGAAGCAGGTGTCAGGTTTCGTGGGAGTCTATTTTGGTCCAACCACAAGACAGGCTGCTCTGTGCCATCAGCCTGAGCCGGAAGGCCTCCACCCCGACTCAGGTACAACTGCGCAGTGTCCATTCTGCACCCCAGCCACGCCCAGCCCCAGCTTCCCGATCCTGCGCGGTTCCTTCTCCACTTTGCCCTTGGCATCCTGTGTCCGGATGGGACAACAGAACCGTCTTTGGCCCTGCAGCTCTGCCTGTGGGTCTGGCTTGTAGGACTTGGTTCCAACAAGTCCTCGGTTCCGGGTGAGCTGTGTCCCCAAAAGGCAACAACATTCTGTCACAGGACCTGGGTCCTGAAGACAGCCCCTGACTCTCCCACCTGCAAAGGCCGCCCTTGTGCAGTGCGCGCAGCAGTGAGCCCGAGGCCGGGAGTGTGACCTGCCTGGTTTCCCAGAGCCCCCAGCCTGGCTGGAGAATTCAGTGAGAAGAACTAACCCTAACTAATCCCGGTGCTTGCATAACCGAGGGACTAAGCTCTGACGGAAAATAACTGCAAAGAGCTCTCTTATTCCAGCTCAAACCCTGGAACGGGGCGCAGGAGGGAGCGTGCATATTTTGGTCTTAGACGTGCCCAGTTTCCCTGGCTTACATTCAATCACATCATCTATTCCCAGTTTTCCTCCCATCCCTGTGGACACTGCTGCTTAATCCCCTTTGTACCTCCTTTGCCCAGCTCAGCCCTAGGGCTTTCCCACTCATCACTGTCCCCTTGCTCTAGGATCTCCAGTCCAGATTTCCTTTCATGTCCAGACCCACACATACCTCTATTTGATCTTCCCTTGGATATCTCAAATCTCAAATTCAACTTTTGAAACTGAACTCCCGCCCTGGCCGGTTTGGCTCAGCCGTTAGAGCATCAGCCTGCAGTCCAGAGAGACCCGGATTCAGTTCCCACTAAGGGCACATACCTTGGTTGCAGTTTGTCCCTGGCTTTGGTTGGGTCATGCAGGAGGCAGCCACTTGATATGTCCTTTTCCCGTCATGGGCCGCGGCTGGAGTCCTTCCGTGTTCTCTGCCTCTGTGAATGGCTCCAGCGTCCATCCAGCTCCTCGGCCAGGGCCCACCTGAACACCTCTCCCTCCCTCACCTCCCATACCTAGTCTAAACCAAGTCCTTCAGAACTACTGAATCCACTGGTCACAACCTTCACTACTACTGCTAACATCAGAGACTTAGGTCAGGGTAACAATAATAAAAGCTAATAATTACCAAAGGTTTATTATATACCAGGCACTCTTAAAACTTTATGTAAATTATCTTTTTTAATCACCCTATGTATTCGTTTCCTAGGACTGGGATAACAAATTACATTCAGTATCATGCTATCCTACACCACTAGCATTATCTTAAAAAATTACAGAACAAATCCAGTGCATGGCATGATGGCCATCATATAGCAGGTGCTCAATAAACAGCTCTGAATAAATTAATGAGATCATGTCACCAGCCTCATCAAATGTCATCAAAAATTCCACGTTGCTTAAAAAATTTGCTTCATACTCCTCAACTAAGCATTCAACATCTTCTAACCCATCATAAGATTAAAAAAGAATCTTAGAATTAAACCACCTTTTAAAGAATGTTTAAAAGCCATACAAGAAGAGATTGATAAACTTGGTGACATTCATATCTAAAAATTCAGTATGGAAAAATTTCATAAACAAGGTGAAACAAAACCAGTGGCCTGCAAAAATATTCACAATACATATTACACTTATGCCTAATGTCCTAAAGACATGAATAGCTTCCGAGGAAGCAGGCACCTTCCATTACTGTTGTAGGAGTGTAAACTGGTGAAACTTCTTTGAAGGTAAATTGATAAATACAAATATAAATTCATCTCTTTTCAGCATTTCCACCTCTAGGAATTTATTCTGTAGAGCATCTCTCACTTTGGCACAAAGCAATTCACTGCTACACCCTTTGCAATAAAAACAGATCGGAAATAACCTAAATGTCCACCAATAGGAGGCAGTTAAACCAATTATGGTACAACTGTATCATGGGACATCATGAGGCCCTTCTATAATGAGGCACGTCTGTGTGCATTAGTGTGGAAGAGGTTAATCCATTCTGTAAACCACAAAAAGGACACATATGCATATGCATGTACACTCTATGTCTGCATGTGAGTGGAAGGATACAGCAGAAATTTGTAACTGTATTTGCCTTTGAGAAAACAACAGTGACACTGAATACAGGGGTGGAAAGATTTGTTTTTCACTATAAACTCTTGTGTTGTTTGCATTCATTTTGCCACATGCTTGCATTGCCCATGAGAGAGAGAAAAAGAGAGAGGGAGGGAGGGGGGGAGGAAGGGGGGGGGGGAGAGAGAGACTTTTCACCTAATTTTCCAGCTTGATCTCGCCTTCTCTTGCACCAGACAATTCGCTGCTTCCCAGACACACTGAGTACATTCACGTTGAGTTGTGTGAGTGTGTGAGTGTCTAATGTTCCATCATCCTTGGCGCACACTTTCTGCCTGTAGAAATCCTGCTCCTCAAAGGCTGTTCTGTGAGACCTTCCTGATCTTCAGTGTTGGAACCAACCACTCCAATCTCTGCACTGGAGAATCCCTGCTCACTGAATCACAGTTATGTTTACAGGTGTCCCCCTCATTAAAGTAGCTCCTAAAGGGAAGTGTGCCTCTTGTTGGCCTCTGTGTTCCCCATGCACCCGAAACCTGGCTTTGCTGAGTGCATGTCGTCAACTGAAAAACATGACGCAGAAGAGCCATCCAGGAGGACCAAGGGTGACAGGAAAAACTATCTAGCCCACACACAGGGACCCTGCTTAGTATGGAGATCTGAAATAGCGAATAAGAGATCCTCAAAGCGGAAAACAGAGCCAATTCTGCATATCAAATAGGATTCGTACAGGAGGAGTATGGGAAATGAAACAGGAAGCTATGTTTTATCTATATTAGCGGTTAAGAGAAGTATGAAAGAAAAATGTTTTCATTTATAATAAGGAAAAGATAGCTCTCGACATTTTTTGTTTTAGGCAAACACACCACGCTGGGACATTAAGCAGCCAAGCGCTGATGTTTGTCATAGAGCCAGATACTTCCAGGTTCCCCTGACTCCTCTGTCCCCCACTAAAGGCCATGGCGATGCAATCCAACCTCGTGCTTAAGAGCCACAGTCTTTTCTAAACAAATTTTCCTAAGTCATGTAAGTTTGTAGTAACTTTTAAAAAAATTTTATTGATCGGAGAGGAAGGGCGAGGGAGCAGGAGAGAGAAATGTCCATTTGTTGTTCCATTTATTTATGCATTCGTTCGTTGCTTCTTGCATGTGCCCTGACTGGGGGGTCGAGCCAGCAACCCTGGCCCATGGGGACAGCGCTCCAACCAACCGGGCTACCTGGCCAGGGCCTATAGCTCCTTTTTTTACTACTTACTTTTTGCTGTCATTTAAGCCCATTTCCTCTTGTCCGTGGTCACATGGAATATAGAGGGTGACATGACTCTATTTATTTAATTTTCATATATCCGAAAGCTTTTCATGGTAATTAACTATGCACTACCTTCTAGAAACAATAAAGCCAATGTTTCGTGTGCCTCCAGAATATTGCTATTGTTCTTCCGTCTCTACACAGACACACCGACATCAGGTGCATCTCTGCTGGCCTTACCATAACATACGATACAATAACACATGATGAAACACAAATGCAAAGTTCACTTCTACTTACTGCTAATGCTGTTTTATGCTCTCCGGCAGCCAGGTGTGCTAAGCCCAAGTAATAGGACGCTTCTCCTTCCATCTTTTTGTCATTTGCTGAAGTGAAAATGCAGAAAGGATATCATGGCATTAGAGAAACTGACTTACTACAACACACAAAATTTTGCTTTTTAAGACAGTAGAAAATTATTACAAAATATACACATTAATCAACAACCCCTGAAATCTAACTGTATACTGTTAGAAACAAAAACCAAAACAAGTCTAATACTAACACAGTTTACCTGGATCACAGATGTTAAAGTGCATTAGCAATATATTATGAGGATCTCTCCTCTACATACACAGACCAGTGTGATCATTTTGATATTTGTGTGTAATTTCTATACTGGTCCACTGTGTGAAGACCTATAGTCGTCCAGCGTAGCAGCTACTGCAGACATCAGATAATCGGTCAAGAGAACCAACGTTACCCGGTGCACAAACACACGTTCACAAAATTGACATTCAGCTGAGTCTTTAACAGGGCAGACAATGAGCAAAGTAAGGGATTATTTTTTTATTAGGTTCCATTTAAAAGCTATTGGTTAAAATTTGGATGAGAACAGCTGACAGAGTTTGACTTGTTGGAATAAAATTCCACACGTTTTGAAATCCAAACTCATTTTTCTCTGCTAACGACTGGTAATGCTTTTCATCATCTTTTCACAAAGGAATTTAACCTTTCTAATTTTGGTGTAATGTGTTTTATTCCAGGAATTGTCAAATTCGTCTTTCCAAAAGCAGAATGTGTAAACATGTAACATGTGGTCCAATGAGACATAAGTCCTTCATACCATCTCATAAACATACAATTTATTCACATTTAATATACAAGGTATAACATGTACATCTCATATACTTACAAAAACCACTAAAGATTCTTATACATGAAAAGAATACTATCTTTTTTTTCTCTACTTTTGGAAGTCATTGGCTTTCAATGCTACCTCACTCCTAGGTAATGCAAGTACTGACAGATGCTCTCTCATTTTTTTTTTTTTTTAATTAACTAATTTATTTTTGTTACAGATGTTTCTCCTATTTCCCCTACTGATTCCCCCCTCCCTCTTCCTCCCTGTCCTGTCCCCAGCTTTGTTGTCCATGTCCACTGTTCATGCATACATGCATATAAGTTCTGTGGTTTATCTCTCCCCCACCACCCCCTCTTCTGGGGATTGTCAGTCTGCACCCCACTCCCACATCTCTGGGACTACCCCATTCCTCAGACTGTTATGTTCATTATATTCCACCAATAAGTGCTGGTGGGAATGCAGACTGGTGCAGCCACTATGGAAAACAATATGGTGTTACCTCAAAAAATTAAAAATTGAGCTGCCATTTGACCCAGTGATCCCACTTCTAGGAATGTACCCTAAGAAGCCTGAAACACCAGTCAGAAAGGATATATGTACCCCCATGTTCGTAGCAGCACTATTTACAATAGCTAAGATCTGGAAACAGCCCAAATGTCTATCAGCGCACTCTCATTTTTGATCCTTAGAAAGTATTAGATTTCTGAGCTCTGCATCCCAACCATGATGGATTTCGCAGGAGCCAGCAATTCTCCATGCTGCACTCACTCTCCCCACTCCGTGACGACCGCTCGAGCAGCACGGCTCGTTTGGAAGACTGCAAGGAAACAGGATGGCAAACGCCAGTGACCACATTTATTTTCCTTCTCTGGCAGGAACGCCAATTGCAGAGAATTATACCCTTAAGATTTCACTTCAGCAGAGTTGATGGCACCAGTGGTCCAGTCTAGGGAATTTTAACTCTTAAAATTCAACTGGGCACTAACTTTTTATCTGATATAGGTTTTTGAGTGCTGGGGTAGGGGTGAGACAGGGAAGGAAGAGAAAGAAGGGGTAAGAGGAAGAGGCAGAGAAAGGAAGTTGCCCTTGAATGATTAAAAGTTGGTTCTATGTGATTTGTACTTGCTGTGTTAAATGACGTAACTGGGTTAAAGCACTAACAGCAGCATGCACGGATGTATTATTATCATTTGCATCTACTTTTTTGTATAGGGCATCTCAGCAGAGAGGAGGAGAGAGAGGAAATCTACCAGCAATGGTAGAAAAAATTTAAGGCAGCTAATTTAAACAGCTGGATCACATCAAATATTAGTTTAAAAATAGGATTTAAGCATGAGAACTTTTCCTGCTTACTAGTTCAGAAAAGGTTAAGATAAAGCAAAAGCAATGAATTAAGAGAGGAAACTATCAGCACTATTAAAATTGAGTGACACATATACCAAAGGGAAAAAAAGGTGAAATATTACTTATATTGTGTCATTTGAGTGGGTTGAATTGGTTTTGCTATCTACATCAATAATCATTTCTCTTAAAGAAAATACTATGTTTTTATTTTCAAAACTCTGGGAACTACTCTTTCTTTGTGAAATGACCTTACAATTTTCCTAAGCTTGAAGCTAAAGTAAAATACCTTTTCCTAATTGATACGTTACATTGAAATTCCACACAACTTTCCAGGTAACTAAAGTCAGCTGCTGAAATTGATCTAAGAGCTAACTATTTATATCAGTGCTTACCCCTTTGGGGAAGGTATTAGGTCACATTCATTCAAAAGCAGTTCACGCAATGAGATACATCTTTCAAAGGGCGATGATTTCCGATGGGTATTCCAACTGATATTATTAAAAGACATAATATAATAAAGAGAATAAGCTAAGATGTTCACTTTTACTCTTTAGAAAATTTAAATCACACCCAGAAAATCAGTCTTGCTTACTCCAAATAGGCCATCTGTTATTCCAATAGAGCAAATATTATCTGCAAGCCAATAAACGTCAGGTCAAGAGCATAACTTGTATCTTTTTTTACTTCATGAAAAGGCTACTCTATTAATAAATTACTATATGGTAATAAAATATCTGTGCATTTCACAAAGTAAAAGCTTATGTGTATATGCTCTACACTTTAAAACTATTTTATATGTTCGCAAATGTTATAAAATATCAAGGATCAGCTTTCACAAGCGTTTTTGCTGCTGTAAATGGGCATCCCAGTCACCTGGGGGTTTTGCTAACCTGTGATGCTGATGCATTTGGTCCTGGGTGGGGCCTGAGATGCCGATTTTCTTACAAGTTTCCTGGTGATACTGATGCTGCCAGTACAAAGGCCACACTGACAGGCAAGTCTCAAATATATTCGAGTTCTATTTTCCTGTTACTCCCAACTACATATTGATCATATCTTCCCTATTACCTGACAGTGGGGAATTTACAAACAATGACAGGTCTCTCAGATGATAATAAGAAGACCTTAAACACACCATACACACACACACACACACACACACACAAACACTGACACATACTCTTAACTTTTGCAAATGACCTTACTCTCTCATTATGGGTTCATTGTTTTATAACACTACTCCCAGAAGGTTGTAATTTTGGAGATAAAGCTTTCAGGAAACTAATGGATTTCTTGTTGTCAGCACTAAGGCACCTCCGTTTTACAGTGAAATGTGAAAGTGTATTGATGGCATTTGTCTTTGCATTTCATAGGAAATAATCACCCAAACACTTGACAATGTTTATGTCTCCCTTGGGAGCAGCAGTGTCTGCCCATTAAAGGAAGAGTGCGAGAGTGTTCTTTCCTACTTACCTTCTTTGGCTATTTCTGAAGCTTTGATTAGAATTTTGATGGCCTGTTTGTAATCTTTGTTTTCCAGCATCTGGTCTGCGAGGAGTCTGTAAGTCCTCAGGAGACTCTCGCAGGCCAACAGGTTGAGAAAGCGGCCTGTCTCGTCCTTCCAGATCCGCCCCTGTGTCAACTGATGGAACGCTTCGTAATACTCGGCTGCTTCCAGAAGCTGACCTGGAGAAGAAGAGCCATTCATAAACATAAACCACAGGCCAGGACGGATTTTCAAACATTTTGTGTGCATCTTTTGTTTTACTGTGATGGGGAGAGGGCGTGAAATACAGTCGAGGATTTCTAAGGTCGAGGAAGACACGCGGGAGAAGGAGCTATCTCCATGTGGACCTCAGGTTCAACACGGGTTCTGGGTGGACCCCTGCTAGAGGGAGGTACCTGGGCTGGTAGGAACTGACTGGATTACAGATGTTTAGAGAGGGGGCGAAAGTCCAGGAATAATTAGTAAGGACAATCACATTCACTAACATTCCCTTAACATTGTCTATACAAAGCACCGTGCTATGTGCTTTGTATGCAGTTCTCATTTAATCTTCAGAACAGTCCCATGGAATAGATTTATGATTTCATTTTGCAGAGGAGAAAGTGAGGGTAGCGATCTCGCCCAGGATTGCACATATGGCCGTCTGACTCCAGAACGCATGCTCTCCACCACTACCCTTTCCCTCAGGACAGCCTTCTTCACTCTCGAGGACTCGGGTATCCTGGGAAAGAAGGCACCGTCACATGTTTCAAATTCAAATATCATGGGCCTTTAAACGACTTCTCAAAGTTTGACTGAACTTGCCAAGCAGGCATTTGTATGTTGTATTCTGTATAATTTTGAATAATTAAAATGTAACTTAACTGCTTTGCTGGATTACATTTCATAATCTAGTCCAAATATATTTTCTCAAAGTCAAAACTCTAAATTAGCTTTGAGTCATTTTATTCCTTGAAATGTAAGTGAGCCCATTTCTGGAGTAGTTTGCAGCTCCCTGCTGTGGATTGTATTTATTTGAGACTTGCCTTGTGGAAATGTTCACAATATCTTGTAACGTAAATACTCTTTTATGGTACTGGAGTCTCCTAATTGGAAGCAACTGGGAAAACACTTACATCCAGCCATTCAGACAGTGGTGTTAGGCTGAGTGCAGACTCCAGGCAGATAGCCTGAGTTTCTGTCTCAATTTTATTTGACCTTTTGTGCTGTTGAGCCTCAGGCTAATTACTACCCTCCCTGTGCCTGAGTTTAATTCTTCTGCAAAACAGAATTATAGTGTAACCCTTCAAGGAGTTTCTGTGAGAAATTAACACAGGTTCAGTACCTGATGCAGAGTATGCACTCAATAAGCATGGCTACTGTTACCAGTTGACACAGGGATCACGATTTTTTTAAAATCCAACACGACGATTGAAATATAGCCATTAATTTGTTTCCTGAGAAAAACTTTCTCTGCTTGTAAAAAACACAGGCAAGTCCTTATAACAATAGTGTCACGACTGATTGCATTAACCCTGTTTAGGTCAGATGGGGCTTCGTGTACTTCCTCAAATAGGGCTCACTGGATGTTACAGATTCGATGGTACAGGATAGTGCAGCTCCTGACAAGACTTGCAAATAATTTCCCCCCACTTTTGCACTGAATTTGTTATCAACATTATTAATATTAAAGTACTAAAGAGTGCACACATAAAGAAGAAGAATATCCACAGAGAAACACAAAAGAGATGGATAACGAGCAAATAATCTGCAGAAAAATTCAAAAGACATGGCCTGTCTGGGCCCCAGCTGTGCCGTGCAGGAGAGGATATCAGCAGAGCTACATTCAGACAGGACTGTGTACAGCACAAATGTTTACAAACCTGTACTGTGATATTTCCACATGACAAAAGAATACACAGCCATAAATATGATATTATATAAGAATATTTCATTCCATGGACTGGTGTTAATGATAAGGGAAAATAATGAAAAACACCAGAAAACATTTACAAAACATTATCAGTATTATGGGGGAGGAATGGCTTTTTCCGTTTTCCCGCTTTCATTTTCTCCCCTCTCGGATCATGGTCATTTCCTAACATTTCTGTCATCACAATATGTTCATTTGTAATAAGGAACATGCAAGAGGAGCTATTTTAAAAATAATGCCCAATCCTTTGTCATTTTTGATACAAATACTCAGGTTGAAGTTCACTGCTCTAATCTATCTTTATATTTAACTAATGATTTTTCTTTACCTCCCACAAAAGAAGGCGTAGTTTGTCATCTCTCTGCTGTAGCACCTCTCACCAGAAACACCTTTCTCCAAATGCCCATGACCCTCATTTTTTAAGAAACTCGAATGAAGCATTGACATATATGTGTGTTATGTTTCCTCTGTTAACTATATTTCTGCCTGTAAAGTATAGCTCTGCATCCCTGGGAAGATGTATACCAGGGTTCCTTTTTTCTGCCCAGCATCCATCTATTCGTAAAGTACAGACACATATTTCTCTTTGGCCATGTGAACAGGGGACGGAGTGAACCAGATAGTCCAGGAGAAAATGTGGATGCACGGAAACTAGAAAGGACTTAACAGCGTTGATGCTCACACACAATAACCACGTGGAAAGAGGGTCCAAAGTTGTGTTATAAAAGAACAGATTCACTAAGGATTCCAGGGTAAGAGCCAGGAGATGAAGCTCCAGATAACCCAACTAATTACAGTGACATGCACATTAGATATAATGAAGTAAATAAAATACAACAGCTGATTTACATGGGGGCAAAAAGGGGAGGAGGGAAGGGAGGGGAGGGAGAGGGAGGAAGTGGGGAAAGGAGAGGTGGAGGACAAGGGGAGGGGGTGAAGGTAGGGAAGAGTGAAGAAAAGGTGGGACCTTGTGTGCTAGTACGCCAGACTTCCCTGTGTTACCAGTGCCACTGGGTGTCCCGCATAGGCTGCCCAATGAGGAATGAAGTAAGGGAGGCATTTGGTACATTGGTGTTGACTGGTTACTGTGGAAGGTGCCCTTTGAATGCTTGAGATCAGTTGTTTTTGGTTGAGCTTGACTTTTGCTAGCACTTTGGGCCAGTAGTTCTTAGCTCATTATTGGCCAAGGTTCAGCTCTCAGAAAACTCTACTTGAGCTCTCCCACAAGGAAGGATCATGGTCCACGGTGCTCAGGTAAAAGAAAACAGAGAACTATTCTCTCCTGAGGGCCTTCTAAGTGCTTGTCAAAAAAGAAGGCTTTCTCTCACCCCATACTTTATCTTATTGAACCTTCAAAGGACTGGTGAAATAAATGCTACTTTTACACTAAAGAGAAAGCTCGAGGCTCACAAAGGTTAAATGACTCATATGGCTAAAACGTGATGTTTAGGATTTAAACCCAGGATCACAAAACTCACAAACAGCTTCATATCACCACTTCGAGTCCTAGTCAACAAACCAGGAGTCAGGAGTCAGAAATCTTAGGTGGGCTAAGTTATATTCTCTGGGCAGAAATCTCTCAAGTTAAAAGTAATGCTTAAGCCCAGTTGGTGTGGCTCAGTGGTTGAGCATTGGCCCATGCACCAAGAGGTCACCGGTTTGATTCCCGGTCAGAACAAATGCCCCGGTTGTGGGCCAGATCCCCAGTGGGGGGCATGCAGGAGGCAGCCAATCGATGTTCTCTCTCATTGAAGTTTCTATTTCCCTCTCCCTTCTTCTCTCTCTAAAAATCAATAAAGAAACAAAAAAATTTTAAAAAGTAATGCTTACATTATGTGATTTCTAGTCTCTTCCCTTTTTATAACTCTGTGACTCGACTCAGGCGATCCCAGGTCACCGCCACCATAAAAGCAGACATTAGCCCCGATCATGCTTCTGATGGGTCTCTCTGAAAGGCCTGCACAACCAGCTCTGCAGCCTCATCTACATGTCCTTCTTCCCCTGAACCATGCAGTGACAGCCGTGGGGCACCTGGAATTCCTTGGGTGCCCCAGACTCAGTCACCTGTACTTTCTCTTCCCTTCCTTAATCGCCTTGCGCAGATGAGCTCACTGGGCATTCTGATCAGCACTGTTTTACACTGAGGCGCCCAGACAGAAGAAGAAAAGTTTTCAGTCCTTCTCAGAGGTAGGGCTTCATTTCTAATACCATATGGAGGCAAATAGGTCAGTAAATAAGCCCACAGGGACTTGATCCAAATGACATAAGTACACAAACGACATGGCTAAAAGTTCTAAAGGCTGGTCTGACTGAATGTACATATTATAAAATAGTATAATATTTGATTAAAAATATTAAAATAGATGCCTATCTTGTAAAGGGAACACAATAATTTAAATATGCAAGTATTTCCCTTTACGTATGATTAACAATGATATGATTTTCATCCAATTTATACTTCCAACTGTGAAAAGGACTTTAAAGATTTTACTACTTTCTGAGTAAAGACTCTGATATTGAGACTATATATCTATTATGACATAATACATCTTGTTTTTAAATTTAAATGTAATATACCTGAGAGAAATACCATAAATCATCATCAATAGAGAGATCATTGTGACAAAGCTAAATGAAGATCATGAACTAGATTTTCCAATTTGGCTCATAGCATCCCTTTATAACATCCTCCAAGTGTTCAGATACAATCTACCCTTTGTTATCAAATAAACTTTTAAAAACTTTACTATATTAGAACCAGGCCAGATTTCCAGACTCTGCCATCAACCTCATTGAAGGACAAGTGTCTGGACAATGGCCCTCTTCTGGAATTATCAAATGCAGACATTATTTCCTATGGAGGAAGAGGTCAGAGAGAAGAATGACTGCACCAAGGTCTGACAAAAATAAAAATTAACTGAAATCAGGATAGAAAAGAGAAGCCCTCAGGAATATTCACAGATGTTACAAGTCTCCCAAATTATCAGCAAATCTTCCTCATCAATCACTGTGAGTAACAAGGATCACAAGAGTCATCTCGATGAGGAAGACATACTATTGCTCACCTAAGTGCCTGGCAAAAATACAGTGTCCACTAATATCTCCAGGGACCCTGGGAAGAATGAAGCCAAAATGTGTTGTTGGATGATTGGACATGGCCATTACCAATAACCCTTGGTACTCAGATGATCTCAGTAACATGAGGTGGTATCAGAAAGCATGTTTTAGGGGCCACACCGTAAGAGGGTCCATGTATGGACAGAAGTA